CACAACCTCAACAACCAACTAAAGGAGACAGCAGTAAAAGGCAGAAAGGGATGATTTATTCACTGTGGCCATATTGGGCAGAGGCACAGAGGATCCGGAGACTCCCCAGGGTTGCCCTCAGGGATCCTGACGGTGGTGGTAGGGTTCAAATAGACAGTTGGAGGTGCTCTGCTGGTTCCTGCCCACTGCCAAGTGTCCCCTGCCAGGTCTGGCTAGTTGTAAAATTTTCTCCTCTCTTGATGGACCTCAAGGGCTTCAGCCATTTCCTCTTCTACGGAGATTCCAGGGAGATCATAATTTCTTGGGGTCCATTCTTTCCATAGAGCACAAACCTCTCTTTAGAACATCTCATTCCTCCAGACAGGTTGGTTACACAAGGTCCAGGCTTCCTTCTGGGAGGCTTTGCCACCAAATAGAAACTTGCCTTCCAGTACGATTAGAAGTTCCTTACCTGCCTATTCCTCATGAAGTCTCCCGTGCCTAACATGGCTCCTAGACAGCACTTGCCTAGATGGGTTTTTATACAGATGGCTCCTCCCCAGTCCCACTGTAGCCAGCCATAGGCCCAGCTGTGGGTGTGCACAGGCACACTGACACCACCACCTAATTTTAGACTCACTCACCTTTTCCAACCTAGAGGGCAAGAAGAATAATGTTTACCTTTGGAGATGAACTCCACAGGGGTGTTTCAAAGTAAGGTGTAGCATTTGGACTGGCCAAGGCCAGCCTGGGCTACATGAGAACCTGTCTCAAAAAAAAAAAAAAATCAGATGTGGCTGCCTCACTTAAGACTCACAAAAATGGGCTGGAGAAATGCCTCAGTGGTTAAGAGCCAGGTTCAATTCTCAGTACCCACATAGTAGCTCAAAACTGTCCACAACTCCAGTTCCAGTGCCCATGGGCTGGAGAAATGCCTCAGTGGTTAAGAGCCAGGTTCAATTCTCAGTACCCACATAGTAGCTCAAAACTGTCCACAACTCCAGTTCCAGTGCCCTCAAACAGACACACATGCAGGCAAAGCACCAGTGCACATAAAATAAAAACAAGTCATTTTTTAAAAGTCACAAGAATGTTTTGCCTAGGGTGGCTTTGTTGAGCGACAGGTCACTGGTGAGTAGTGCAGGCAGGCATTTCTTTGTGCTCCAGCAAACATATTGAAACTCTGAAACCCACAGCTGTTCTCTGAACTCCATGAGAGGCCTGTCAACCAAAGGTTCCCTTCCTTAGTCCTGAGTGTTCCATACTTGGTCCCCAGCTTGACCTTGGAGTTGCAGGTTTCCTGTATTTCAAAGCACGAAGGTCGTAGTGCTAAACTTTAACTTTGCTTTCCTGGCAGACTTCTTCCAGACAGTTAAACTTCTAGCCAGGAAGTAGTCGCTAACTAACCTTCGTGGACTTGTGGACATGAGAGTTTCATCCAACTCTCCTCCTCATCCCACATCGTATTTAGTTACTGGGGTCTCCTTTTTCCTCTGCCAAGAAGATAAAAACACTGCTGGCAGGTGCAGGCTTTCCACAGTGGAGTCAGCTGTGGGAGGACAGCAGCAGAACCTTTATGCTCCATGACAAATTCCAGTTGATTGGGTGGTTCTGTTGGTGTCATTTTGGAGGCATCTCCCTTTCTTAGAACATGGTGTGGCTTGGTGGCGATAATTAGGCAGAACCCTGTCTTCTCCATAGATGCCAGGATTACAGAAGGACTACCTCTCAGCTGATATTTTTGGAATGTACCACTTTATTTTCCTTGATTCAGCAGCCTGATTTCAAACTTAGGGAGGAGAAAGGAGGCCTCTTCTTCCTCCCCATACAAGTTACTGGTAAACCAGGGCAGCATTTTTATATTGTTGATTGGTATATTGCTTAGTAACTGCAGAGTAAAGGCTGTAAAGTTTGTCAGCTGTCTGCTTCCAGTAAGACTGGCTTTTTTTAAGCTACAGGGGCGTCAACACATACACAAGCCTCAGAACTAGCTAAATCAACATGAGCTCCTGTAAAACCCACCCAACTCCCACCAATCCAATGCAAGCATCATTGAACCCCCAGTTAGTGGCTGCTCCTATTGCTTTGCCCCCTTCCTTTTCAGTTCTTGTTTGATGGACAGGTACCAGCAGTGAGCTGCAGAAGCTGTTACGGCGTGAAAGGGCCGTTCTCCTTAGGATGCCTTTGTTCACCTGAGTCCTCAATGCCTTCCGTTTTAGGATGAGTGTGTTTCTCGTCAGTATTTGTCTGGTTCCTTTACACTGTTCCTTCTACCACAGAAAAGAAAAAAAAAAAAAAAAAAAAAATAAGCAAGAGGGGAAAACCCAGAGGGGGGGGGAGGGGAGGGTTTTTTTTAATTTATTTATTTTTTTTTTTGTTTTTTTTTTTTTTTGTTGTTTTTTTTACCTTTTTCCTTCCCCCAAAAAAAAAAAAAAAAAAAAAAAAAAAAAACTAAGCAAGAGGTGACTTCCCAGAGGAGGAGTGAAGTGAGAGTTTTTTTTAATTTATTTATTTGTTTGTTTGTTTTTGTGAAATGTGCCCTGTGTCGGTGCTGGCCCTGGCCCTGGCCCTGTTGACTAAGCCCACAGACACCAAGGCAGCTTCCTGCACAGGCCTCCCCTGGAGGCATTGCTTGAGACCCTGGAGGGAACTCTGGTGCATAGTGTCACAGAGGCCCCGTGCCATTCTACAGAAAGGGGAGAGGTGATTAGTGCTGCTGCTTCTTTTTAATGATGACATTCCCAGAAGATGCTGGGCCTTTGCTGAGTGACTGGGGACATGGCAGCCTGTGCATTGTTGCTGGTGTGGCTTTGGACTAGTATGGTGAGGCTTGTGTCCTAGTTTCAGGGCCCATGGCCAGTCTTGACCTAGATGATGACATGTTGGGTGCCGAGGAGCACTCTGGATGCATCTCTCCCAAGTTGTTCCAGCCCCAGCCAGCATCAAAGCAGGCCACATACTCAGCCTCTATTCTTGGGGGATGAAGTGTGTCGTCTTCCCATCATGCACTAGATTTCACGGCAGAATAATTAACACCAAAGGGGACCAGGGAGGGGTCTGAATTAGGTAATACCTTGCCACTTCTCCCTAGGCAGTTGCAGAAAGTCAGAATTGGGACTTGGGGAACCTAGTCTCCTGATGATTAGTGTCATAGTGATGTTAGGCTGTGATTCTTAGCTCTCACTGTGAAGGGAAACGCCTAGGCCTTTGAAAGGACTTGGTCTGTGAGCTCCTGTTAGACCACACTTTCAGGACCAAAGCAGAAGACTCAGAAAAGTGTCTACAGGCCAGGTTCCTTGAAGATAAATGGGTCTGGGGGTTATTTTAGCCTTTTCTTCCTCTGGAACTAACAGGCCATTATTTCATAGGCCAAAATAAAATGGTCTAGTGGCTTTACAAAACAGAATATCTCCCAGGAAAAGTCCTCAGCCAGACCAGGGGTGCACAGAGAGAGGGGGCCTTCTTTTCCTAGTTTACTGTCTTTGCCTCTAATAAAAAGACAAGCTTCCTTCTGCTCTTTAGAGTGGCCACCAAGGAGAATGTGGCCAGGGTACTGAGTACCACAGAGTAAGGTTGCCCTACTGATGGTCTGAAGCTAGAGAAGTCTTAGAGTAGTCTCACAAGGGTGGATGTACTGCACTGTGTGGGAGTTTACTGTATTCTGGTAGCCATGTGCCTGGTGGGAAGATGGAGGTACGGAGCTGTGGTGTCAAGCTTCTAGTGCCTTGCCCTGCTCTACTTACCAGGACATCCAGCAGTGTCTCCACAGACAGATCTTATGTCTGTCATGTTGATTCCTTTAGCTTCATCTCTGTGTATACTTTTTTTTTTTTTTTTTTTTTGACTTTTCAAGACAGGGTTTCTCTGTGGCTTTGGAGGTTGTCCTGGAACTAGCTCTTGTAGACCAGGCTGGTCTCAAACTCACAGAGACCCACCTGCCTCTGCCTCCCAAGTGCTGGGATTAAAGGCGTGTGCCACCACCCAGCTCTGAGTATACTTTTTTTAAAGATTGTTTTTTTTTTTTTTTTTTTTTGCATTAGCAGTGTTGGCATACATGTATATAAGTGCATCAAATGTGTGGTACCTGTGGGGGTTAGAAGAGGGTCTCAGATCCCCTGAAATGAGTTACAGACAAGTTGTCAGCTGCCATGTGGGGTACTGAGAAATGAGCCCAAGTCCTCCTGAAGAGCACCCGGTGCCCTTAATTGGGCTCCCTGGACTCCGGTGCTCTGGAAAGACCTCACTATGGCTGTGAACACAGAATAATGATAATAATAATAATAATAAGTTAGCAAGATGTTCCGTGGGAGGCCGGACAATGGTGTCTCACAAACCTTAAATCCTGGCACTCGGGAGGCAGAGGCAGGCGGATCTCTGTGTGTTTGAGGCCAGTCTGGTTTACAAAAGCAAGTTATAGAACAGCCAGGGCTACACAGAGAAACCCTGTCTCAAGGGGAACAAATGATATTCCTTGGGAACTTGTCTGGTTTTATACATGTTGTTACTGTTGTTTCTCAAAAAAATGTAATGTATCTTAATTCCTAAGATAGCTCACTTGAGATGACTTGCTCCTCCTACCAGCAAAGAAGCCAAGATTTCCCATGGAATCTCACTAAGTCTTGGCTGCCAAGTAAGATCAGTTTGTCCCTGGGCTGATGGAGAGAACCTTGAAAGTACCACTTTCCCAAACCTAGACCAGACCCTGAGCCATACCTCGGTTACCCCTAACTTAACATGGCCCACCAAAAGCACCCATGTGCTTTGTTCGCTATCATCCCAGGGAGCACGATCCCATTCCCTTCGGGCTGTTTAACCTTAGGATGCTACAATAGGAACAAATAAGAACTACGATAAGTACTTGTCTGCATTGTCCTTCGGTTTCAGACTTGAGGTGTTTAGCTTCACTGCACAAATCCTGGGCTCTGTGGTCAGACAAGCAGGTGGGAGCTGATGGAGCAGCCAGCTTGATTCCTGTGGCTTTAAGAATGCCCGTAATAACTGGGTTTCTTTTCTTTTTTTAGACCCTCACACTGACAGAAGACCTACACAGAAAACCCTTTGCCAAATCTGCTCCTAGCAAGTGGACAGTGACACCGTTTACAGCTTGACACCTTTGTGAATCCCACGCCATTTTCCTAACCCAGCAGAGACTGTTAGCAGCCCTGGCCCTGGGTGAAGCCCATACCCGTGGAACAGAACTCTGTAATGTATGCAAACTCTCTGAGTGACCTGCCAGCAAGGACAGCACCCTTCAGCACCACCACTCTCCTTCAGAGCACACCGGGAGCCCCATCAGCGATTCTGTAGTGCTTTACTATCATGGTTTATGGGATATGTTAAGCGTTGTTTTGTGTTTGTTTCCCCTTTGACCCTCTGGGTTTTTTTTTTTTTTTTCACACAGTAACTTGCAGTATTTTTCTGTTAAAATGTTAACTGCCCTTCCCCTAGCACACTTATAAGCGGAAGGAAAAGTGCTGTACCAGTTCCCAGTCTGGCTTTGAGCATCCCAAGCTTCGGAGCCCATGGAACTCCACAAACTTAACACATTACATAAACTAAAGGGGGATTTTCTTTCTTCTTTTGTTTGGTAGAAAAGTATTCTTTTCTAAAAACTGAACAATGGCACAATTGTTTGCCCTGTATACCCGTCCAGGACTAAACTACGTGTAGGCGAAGCAAATGGAGGCAGGCATCTGACTCAGCAGTTTCCAGTTCTGAGTTGGGGGTGGTCTGTGGATGGGGACCCAGTGCCCACCCTACAGCTGCCTGGTCAGTAGGGCTTATGGTCCCGCCATTCTCCTCAGCCAGTGCAGTAGACAGTGTCTGCTCTTAGAACTAGGACCTCTTCAGGAAAGCACAGCTACTGCTCATTGCCAAATGCCATGAATGGGTTTAGTTTTAAGGAGAAAAAAAAAAGAAGAAAAAAAAAAATGTGGTGTTTTGCTTCATAGAAGATAGGGGATTGCTGGTGGGCCATTAAGAAAGAGTGCAGTGGGGAATGTGTGAAATGGGCAAACCAAGTCTGCACTAAGGCAGGTCCAACTTCACTGTTTTTGAAACATACACATCTTTTGATTATTTTCAGCCTTGCTGTGTATACTCTGATCTTTCTAGAAGTGTATGAGTGACAGGCGATAGCATACAAGGTGATGTAAATAAGCTTAAGGTGTAATTGTACAAGTGACACTTGGAAATACAAGATAAGGCAGTCTAAACTTTTTTTTTTAACTTTCTCTGCTTCTATGAATCTCATTTTTTGTTTGTTTGTTTGTTTTCAAAAAGTTATGGTGCTGTATAGGTGCTTTCTGTTTAACCTGCAAAGTGTGAGTGTATTCATTGCCCTTTGACAGGCAGCATAGTTGGGAACACCTTTGGTACATACGAAACTGGTGTGATGATGCCCTGGTTAGCACAGCATATACATACTTCTCCAAGGTGATATACGAAGACTCTTCTTTGCATAAAAAGCATTAGGCATATAAGTGTATAAATGTATTTTACCATGTACAGTACAAAAATGGAACTTTATGCATGGCGTTAGGAATGTGGGCTGATATTCCAGCACGGTCTCCCTGCTTGAGTTCTCGCTCTTGCTTGCACTGTGGCAGTGGACACCAACACAGGCGTGCCACCCAGTCCCCTGCACCCACCACCGGCCCCCTTGTGCACCTTTGCTTTATGATTCCTCTAGGAATGATATTGGTGGCAATCACAACTCCTAGCATAATGAGAGTTCCATTTGGTATTGTCACACTTCTTTCTTGCCTCACTTAGATTACTGTATCTGAGCAATGGCCCTGTCAGTTTCACTCTGCCTTTTCCAGAACCTGTACATTGTCACTCAGTTGTGGCTGTAGTAGGCCTATAGCACATTGCCTTTTCCAAACTGCTACATGTTTATAGTCTCCATTTGTAAAGTCTAATTTTGAAAATATGTATAGTATTCCTGTGGTCTGCTTGTCAGTGAGCCATACCTGCTTACTTCACTCTTTTGTGGTGATGCTAGCCACTCCCTGATTCTTCAGTAGTCAGCTGTCCACACAAACTGGGTCATTTCAGGCAGAGGGCTGGTAGGCTGGCTTCCCAGAGTGCTGCTTCCTTGGTGGGCTGCATGGGGGTGGCAGCTGAGGGAGTGGAAAGAGCTCAGGTACAAGGGAGAACCCCAAGTGCTTCCAACAGGAGGGCCCTGAGAATTCTCTCCTGAGTTTAAAGAAACGAGCAGACTAATTCACAAGACAGCCACTTGGCTGTGCAGTTTACAGGCGCTGGGAGTGGGAAGGCAACCCTCCAGTGTATTCCCCTAGTTTTAAAACGTTGAATTCCTTTTAGACACGTAACTTCTCATTTATTTTCTTGCCCAGAGTTTGTTGGATTTCAGGCACCAAGTTTCACAGAATGTCCTAGAAACAGATTATAAGCTGAAGCAAGGACCATGTGAGGCCAGGGTGGCCTCAGTAGATCAGAAAAGCAGAGGCAGAATGCTTTGATACACTTTACTTTTTAAAATAATACAACGTCCACACATAGGATGTGTGGAGAGCTAAGGCCCGCCAGGCCCAGGACCCATGCACACCCAACTCCAGGGTCCCTACACAGACAGGCTTAAGAAGCCCAGGTCTATGGCAGTCAGACTCGGCAGAGGTGACGCCTGGGCCCTCTGTACCTTCTGTTGGAACCCTGCTTTCAGGGTAGGCTCATCATTGTCCACCCAGTAGCATTCTCAATGTCTTAAGTCCCTAACAGTGAAATGCTCCAAGGAGCAGATGACCTCACAACCTGCTAACGCCTGTGTGAACCTTCCTAGGGAGCCCAGCACACTTGTGACAATACAGGAAACAGAGTGCCTACTGTTCAAGACTGAAGCTCTCTTGGGCTCTGCGGTCTCTTCAGGCTCCAGAGCCTGACATCTTGTACCAAAGCTAGAGAAGAGCACGTGGCGAGCCTGCCCACCCTGGACTTGTTAACTGTGACTGCGTCTGAGGTGGTGTCTGTCCTCGGGGACGTGATGACTGCTGAAGCACATAGGACTCTCCTGCTGACGGAGGACATGCACACAGGCGCTGCGTGATGAATAGCATCATGTGTGTTGCTTTCCCAGCCAGAGGAGAGGACATCTTGCCTCACTCCCCAGGAGAGGCCCCGTCTCAGGTGTGACTTCAGCCAACATCCAAACCCATATACAGGTCCAAGGTCACAGGGACAGACAACTTTGCCATCCCCTGAACGAACAGGCAGCGTTGGAATCTTCCAGAAAAGACCTTCAGGAGTAAAGCAGAGAGAAAGCAAGTCTGTCCCTGGGCCTGAGGGGGCACAAACAACTCCTTTTCTCTGTAGAAACAAAGGAAAGGCGGTATAGACTTGAATCCTCCTCCTCGGTGGATCTGGGGAACGTATGATTAGGCACAATAATGTTCTTTTTAAAATTAACAGCAGACCTTATGTAGAAAAGCAATCACTGGTACTGAGGTACAAAGAAGCCATTTGTGGGATTGGAACAGCAGGGAACCAGGGGATGAGGTAGGAGAGATGTCTTGTGGGAACTAAGGTCAAACAAGACCTTAGAGCAGCTGCCCAGGTCACTGACAGAAGTGTGCGGTATTTGCACTAAATCTTCAGTGTAAAACACACAGATTAGATGAGTGCAGCATTTTCACTTGTTGAGTTTTATGTGTTTTGTATTTTTCTTTCATGAGTTAATAATTACAAGGCCTCTGCCACACTCCAGAAATACTAGTGCAGCTGGTTTAAAAAAAAAAAAAAAGGTGTGTGTGTCTGGTCACTTATTTCTCTAGAATTATCTCATTGCCTGGCAATCAGCCTTGTCTTATGTCCTTGTTCGAGCACATTATGTACGTGGGAAATGTAAACAGATGTGAGAGAGACCAGAAGAATTCGTGAATATTGAAAAATGTCTTGTGCATTTGGGCTTCACATGTTTAACTTTTTTTAAGGGGAAAAAAAAAAAGTTGCATGAATGAAAAACCAATTCTGTATACAGTTTCTGTAAAAATGGCTTATCTGTTTTGATTTCTTGCTTCTGCCCCACACAAACTAGAATTTAGTATGGTGCGTGGCCATATTCAGACACGTAAGAAGCAGTCTGTTGTGCGGTGTGAAGCAAACACTACTGTGCTGCATTCTAGTCCTGAGGACCTCGTCTAACCACACATTGCCATGAATTAGCCTGACCGCCTTCTTCTCAAGGATCAAAACCAGTTTGATTTGGGAATCTGCCCCTTTCCAGTGAAATGGAGATGCTTACTTCCCTGGGTGTCTGTAGATATGCCTGTGTATTCCATTTAAAACCATAATCTAGTTTGTAAAAGAGATGGTGACGCATGTAAATAAAGCATTGATGACACTCTGCCCCATGCCCAGAAGTCTCTGTCATCACCACTGCCCTGTGCTCCCCCACAAGTGAAATGTTTGGGTTTGTGTGATAGTCTTCTTGTGGGATGGATCACTTCCCAAGCTGGGAGAGGCAGAGACCTGCCAAGCTATTACATCTAAATGAAATGAGCCCAGTAAACTCTTGCTCCACCCCACGTTTGCCCTCCGTAGACAAGCAGTTTAATAAAACACATTCTCGGAGTTGTTCATGCTGGCCGATGGTGGGCTTGGTGTGCACTGGTTCATAGAGCCCCTGGGGAGCGCCTAAATGTGAAGGCGGGAGTCAGACTGCCTTAACGGACTGACCAGTCCTAAAGAAGTCCTCCTTCCATGAGTCCAGTGAGTAACCACTGGCCATCATCAGGGCCCTCCTGGTATACTGAAAGCCAGACAATCTCCAGACTGGTGGAGGCAACAGAACCAACACCAACTGTGTCTACGCTCACTCCTGACCTTGTCAGTGTTATTGGGAGGAACAGAACATTGCAAAACTATCCTAAGTTGTCTTAATCATTTCTTTCTTCAATAGACTTTATAAAAATTACTATACTTAGAGAAACCTCCCAAGGTCTATGTAAAGACCCTAAGACATAGGCTGGTTCATATTTCATTTTAAGGAGGTGGAAGATTTGCAAGTCAGGCTCTTGGGGTAAGTTGTGACTTATAAGCAGGATAAGCCCTGCCTTCAGTCTGCTCTCCCATTAGTGAACTATTATAAAGCGAAAGCCCTTAGCTTCTTCTGGCATCCAACTGGGAGAGGTATCTTTTTCACCTGACATTGTACCCGGATTATGTTCCCAAAAGATGAAAGAGGCCTCTGATGCCATTTGCTTGAGTTCTGAAAGCCAGGTGAAAATACCACCAACAGTAAGTTAGAATCCCTGTGGTGATCGCTAAGTCTGTATGGCAGTAGCCAAATCTTGTGAGCTACCACCTGGCCCCAGTCTTGACTGTGCTATGCACTACTAGATGTAATGTGTCCCTGCTATGCCCCAAATCAGAGCCCAGGCTGGGTGACTGGCCCTGCTTCCACATCTGATTTAAAAGGAAAGTGTATGAATCTTTAATTCATACTCAGGTAGTCTGGGCAAGGCTTTCAAGCCATCAAAGGTTCTATGGACACATACCATCCAGATCATAGTCCACAGCTGCAGTTCAGCGGCCAATAGCAGAGCAAAGTGGAATTCCTAGCCATTAACCAAACTCTAGAGCACACAGCCACGCCTAGGAAGCTTGGGGAAGTAGGAAGGAGGGAGGCAGCTTGTCTGGTGGGGAGCGGCCCATGGTGCTCTGGGTGTCTGTTAAGTCAGCTGGGTGGTGGGAATGAGCAGGCATGGGGTAAAGAGGAACACTCAGGGGACCTGCTCCATTGAAGAGAGCAGTGGTCCTGGCCCGGAAGCCTGTGCCCTTGCAGGGCTGGAGGAACAATTTCTACATTTTCCTAATCAAGAATATAGAAGTTGAGGCCTGAAGAGATGGCTACTCTTCTGTAGTGGCATCTTGTTCCACCAGTGGACTTGGGGTGGTGGCAGTATCTTAGGGCTTCAGGTGTTTGGATGTCATTCCCTCTCTTGGGCTATGGTCAGAGCATCCTGAAGGGCATACAGGGGAAGTACCATATACAAAGTAACAGTTTTTAAAAAGAATGTAGTTTAGTGATATCAGCACGAAAACCTAGAGAACCAGTTGTGTGAATGTGAGGTTCTGCCTAGGGTCTGGCGCACAATGGCTCAGCTGTTTTTACCTGGTTCTCTGAAGATTTTGTGCAGCAAGTGTGCCTCCATGCTTCTGAAGAGATCTCAGTGCCTTTCTTGGGTTAGCACAGGTGCTGTGGTTGCTCATTCTGCAGGCGTCCTGCTTTCCATAGTAAGATAGGCTAAAAGGACCAAACTGAGATAGATGCTCAGGCCCAGCCCTGGCTCATTCCCTGAGTGAATAAGTTCCACAAGCGACACACACAAGAGTGGAACACAATGGACTGAGAGCTGGACCAGCAGAGGACATCAGAACTCAGGAGACACGTAAAAGTTAAGATTGTCTCAGGAAAGAGTGACTAGTGGGCATACCTGGGACTTTGTGTACTCAAAGAAACATGAACTCCAGCAAGAAAAGTAAGCTGTCAGAAATTCCAGACCGAGGAACTCTGCCTCTTCAGTAGAGTAGGAACCAGCAGGGCAGTGACCTGAAAAAAGGTGGCCTTTAGAAAAGCAGGGTCAGGGTGTGCTTTGGCAGAATCGGGGAGTGGGGGTGGGGGTGGGTGGTATTGATGAAAAGAGAATCCATGGTAAGTAGTGAACTGTTCCAACATGGCACCCACAGGACTCCTATTTCTGTGGCCTCAGGGCTCAAATGGCTGCACCATCCATCTCTCACATCCCTGTCTCTAGCCAAGTTGAATAGCCGTGATGGAGAAATTAGTAGACATATTGCAACTGCTGAGGCTGGGGGAGGGGGGCAAGAGGGTTTTGTCTTCAGTAGCATGTGGTATACTATTGTATAGTATAAGGAGTGTATTAAGATAGCTGTATAAACCAGGTGTTGGCACACGTCTTTAATTCCAGCATTCAGGAGGCAGAGGCAGGCAAATCTCTGTGAGTTTGAGGCCACCCTGATCTACAGAGCGAGTTTCAGGACAGCTAGAGCTGTTACATAGAGAAACCCTGTCTCAAAAACACAAAAAGAAAACATAAAAGATAGCTTGTATAAAGATACTTCAAAAACATGGACGTGGACTGGCTTTGACTCCTAAGCTTGGAGCAGACACTACAATGCGAGCAGGGTAATGGGAACTAGAGTGGTGGTGACTTGATGACTACTCTGTTTAAGTGCTGTGTGACTTCCAAATGACTGGTGCGCTTGGAACTCTGTGTCCTCACAGCCTCCGGTTTCCTTAACTTCTTCCTACCTACATCTTAGATACTACAATAAGGAAGTGCCTGATCAGAAGAAAGGAATATTATACAGCCATTAAAACAATGATCATGAAAACTATCCATCTACAGAGAAAATGTTCATATCAAATATGCTTACAAATGTATCTTTATAACCTTACATATTAATATAAGAAAAATAAAATGCAGAATTCAAGTAGTTTATACTAATATAAAACTGGCTGGGGAAAAATAATGCAAAGTAAAATATAAAAATAGAAATAATTCATGTCCTGGCTACTCTGGCAGAATTCCATTCCCTTTTATTTTTTTAGCTTTTGTTTTTTTGAGACAGGGTTTCTCTGTGGCTTTGGAGGCTTTCCTGGAACTATCTCTTGTAGACCAGAATTCCACTTTCTAAACGCACCATAAGTGACTTAACCCAGACTCCCTTGTTGATAGACATGACACTGGATTGCCTCCAGCCATTTGTTGTTCTCCACAACATTGCAACAAATACTTGTATACATATGTTATGTCCAGAAATTTTGGAGGACTAATGCCCAAATGTGGAATTGCTGAGCCAATAGATATATGCATAAGTAATTTTGACAGAAGTTTGCCTAATTATCCCCTAATGGACCAACCAGTTCACAACACAATGAGAATCTGTTTTCTCACCAACTCATAATTTTAATATTTTAAAAATACAGTTGCAAATTGTGTTTCCCTCCCCACTGGAAACTTCTTTAAGTCCATACCTAAGGCAAGGCAAGGCAAGGGTCAAATGAGTCTCAAGGGACAAGTGAGGATAAGGGTGGAGGTCTCACAGGCTGCTCCAGAGCCACCTGACACTGCTAGGAAGGGGAAAGAAAGCTGTCTCCAGCACTCGGAGGATTTCCATGCCACACCAGGAAGTCTAGCTGCCAACCTGTCCATCCAGTCTGACCACAGTCTCCTCCCCTCATGCCAACAGCTTAGACTGCATTGTCTCAGGGTCAGTAGACTAACCTCCCAGCTGGGCTCAGTCATCTCCCAGAATTCCAGAGGGACGCTATCACCCCAAAAGAAACAAGTCTGGTCTCTTTGGCTCCAAACCGCACACACAGACCTATCCACAGTGAGGTTGCACAAGCAGAGGGAAGATTTCTCTGCTGTGCATGAGAGCTGCTGCTGCTGGGGCCCTGCCTGCCAGCCTCTGAGCAACCCTATTTCCACAGGTTCTGCAAGGCACTCCCAAGGTTGGAAGCCCTCGGCCACTCACTGGTTGCTCTTCCCTATAGGAGGAGGGCATTGCTAGCCAAAGGAGAAATTCTCACACACCCCCACAAGAAGCTGGGGTAGGAATAAGCCACATATACCTCTGTAGACTGCAAAGCCAGGGTAAGCAGAGAGACTTGCCTTGAAATAGGACCCTATCCAATTGCGCCTTGCCCAGCCAAACTCTAGCAGAATGATGACTAATGTCCTTAGTGAAACAGAAGCAAGGTTGCAGGGCCATGCAGATGGCATGAGTGTGCCCAGATGTGTCCAAGCAAGTTCTGAGTCAACACTTAGTCCAGGTCTCATTTCTGCAGACCCACCCTCCATGAAAGATTGATCATTTTTACTATATATATAAAAAACATACAAGGCAGAGAGAGGTAGATCTCTATGAGTTCGAGGCCAGCCTGGTCTAAAGAGTGAGTTCCAGATCAGCCAAGGCTACACATTAAAAACCCTGTCTCAAAAACAAAAACAAAAACAAAACAAAACAAAAAACCCAGCCAAAACCAAATAAACAAAACCATACAGCAAGATGAATCAAACATTAATGCACCCATTAGAATAATTTGATTACATACTAATGAAAAATGAGAGGTGGCCAGATTTAAGATCTCTCCGTTCTCCTTTTCTTTGATGTGCTCCAGGGTGTTGGTGACAGGCATATTCACAGTCTGCTTCCTCCATGTTGTGTACCATCGAATCACAGTCAAGATCTAAGAGACTGAAATGTCCTGGAAAAGAACATCAAATGATGTATTTCTGAACCTGGTTCTGCCACAACAACCATGTTGTGTGCAACCCTGAGTGTGTGGACTAGTTTTACGTCAACTTGACACTAGT